GTATATTGACTCTGTACCGGTACCCCCTGTATATAGCTGTATATAGCCTGTATATTGACTCTGTACCGGTACCCCCTGTATATAGCTGTATATAGCCTGTATATTGACTCTGTACCGGTACCCCCTGTATATAGCCTGTATATTGACTCTGTACCGGTACCCCCTGTATATAGCCTGTATATTGACTCTGTACCGGTACCCCCTGTATATAGCCTGTATATTGACTCTGTACCGGTACCCCCTGTATATAGCTGTATATAGCCTGTATATTGACTCTGTACTGGTACCCCCTGTATATAGCTGTATATAGCCTGTATATTGACTCTGTACTGGTACCCCCTGTATATAGCTGTATATAGCCTGTATATTGACTCTGTACCGGTTACCCCCTGTATATAGCTGTATATAGCCTGTATATTGACTCTGTTACCGGTTACCCCCTGTATATAGCCTTGTATATTGACTCTGTACCGGTACCCCCTGTATATAGCCTGTATATTGACTCTGTACCGGTACCCCCTGTATATAGCCTGTATATTGACTCTGTACCGGTACCCCCTGTATATAGCTGTATATAGCCTGTATATTGACTCTGTACCGGTACCCCCTGTATATAGCTGTATATAGCCTGTATATTGACTCTGTACCGGTACCCCCTGTATATAGCCTGTATATTGACTCTGTACCGGTACCCCCTGTATATAGCCTGTATATTGACTCTGTACCGGTACCCCCTGTATATAGCCTGTATATTGACTCTGTACTGGTACCCCTGTATATAGCTGTATATAGCCTGTATATTGACTCTGTACTGGTACCCCCTGTATATAGCTGTATATAGCCTGTATATTGACTCTGTACTGGTACCCCCTGTATATAGCCTGTATATTGACTCTGTACCGGTACCCCCTGTATATAGCTGTATATAGCCTGTATATTGACTCTGTACCGGTACCCCCTGTATATAGCCTGTATATTGACTCTGTACCGGTACCCCCTGTATATAGCTGTATATAGCCTGTATATTGACTCTGTACTGGTACCCCCTGTATATAGCTGTATATAGCCTGTATATTGACTCTGTACTGGTACCCCCTGTATATAGCTGTATATAGCCTGTATATTGACTCTGTACTGGTACCCCCTGTATATAGCTGTATATAGCCTGTATATTGACTCAGTACTGGTACCCCCTGTATATAGCTGTATATAGCCTGTATATTGACTCTGTACTGGTACCCCTGTATATAGCTGGTATAGCACTGTATTGACTCTGTACCGTTACCACCCCTGTATATAGCCTGTATATTGACTCTGTACCGGTACCCCCTGTATATAGCTGTATATTGACTCTGTACCGGTACCCCCTGTATATAGCTGTATATAGCCTGTATATTGACTCTGTACCGGTACCCCCTGTATATAGCTGTATATAGCCTGTATATTGACTCTGTACCGGTACCCCCTGTATATAGCCTGTATATTGACTCTGTACCGGTACCCCCTGTATATAGCCTGTATATTGACTCTGTACCGGTACCCCCTGTATATAGCCTGTATATTGACTCTGTACCGGTACCCCCTGTATATAGCTGTATATAGCCTGTATATTGACTCTGTACTGGTACCCCCTGTATATAGCTGTATATAGCCTGTATATTGACTCTGTACTGGTACCCCCTGTATATAGCTGTATATAGCCTGTATATTGACTCTGTACCGGTACCCCCTGTATATAGCTGTATATAGCCTGTATATTGACTCTGTACCGGTACCCCCTGTATATAGCCTGTATATTGACTCTGTACCGGTACCCCCTGTATATAGCCTGTATATTGACTCTGTACCGGTACCCCCCCTGTATATAGCCTGTATATTGACTCTGTACCGGTACCCCCTGTATATAGCTGTATATAGCCTGTATATTGACTCTGTACCGGTACCCCCTGTATATAGCTGTATATAGCCTGTATATTGACTCTGTACCGGTACCCCCTGTATATAGCCTGTATATTGACTCTGTACCGGTACCCCCTGTATATAGCCTGTATATTGACTCTGTACCGGTACCCCCTGTATATAGCCTGTATATTGACTCTGTACTGGTACCCCTGTATATAGCTGTATATAGCCTGTATATTGACTCTGTACTGGTACCCCCTGTATATAGCTGTATATAGCCTGTATATTGACTCTGTACTGGTACCCCCTGTATATAGCCTGTATATTGACTCTGTACCGGTACCCCTGTATATAGCTGTATATAGCCTGTATATTGACTCTGTACCGGTACCCCCTGTATATAGCCTGTATATTGACTCTGTACCGGTACCCCTGTATATAGCTGTATATAGCCTGTATATTGACTCTGTACTGGTACCCCCTGTATATAGCTGTATATAGCCTGTATATTGACTCTGTACTGGTACCCCTGTATATAGCTGTATATAGCCTGTATATTGACTCTGTACTGGTACCCCCTGTATAAGCTGTATATAGCCTGTATATTGACTCAGTACTGGTACCCCCCTGTATATAGCTGTATATAGCCTGTATATTGACTCTGTACTGGTACCCCCTGTATTAGCGGTATATAGCCTGTATATTGACTCTGTACCGGTACCCCCTGTATATAGCCTGTATATTGACTCTGTACCGGTACCCCTGTATATAGCCTGTACATTGACCTCTGTACCGGTACCCCTGTATATAGCCTGTATATTGACTCTGTACCGGTACCCCCTGTTATATAGCCTGTATATTGACTCTGTACCGGTACCCCCCTGTATATAGCTGTATATAGCCTGTATATTGACTCTGTACCAGGTTACCCCTGTATATAAGCTGTATATTGACTCTGTACCGGTACCCCCTGTATATAGCTGTATATTGGACTCTGTACTGGTACCCCTGTATATAGCCTGTATATTGACTCTTGTACTGGTACCCCCTGTATATAGCTGTATATAGCCTGTATATTGACTCTGTACCGGGTTACCCCCTGTATATAGACTGTATATTGACTCTGTACCGGTACCCCCTGTATATAGCTGTATATAGCCTGTATCTGGACTCTGTAACGGTACCCCCCTGTATATAGCCTGTATATTGGACTCTGTACCGGTACCCCCTGTATCTAGCCTGTATATTGACTCTGTACCGGTTACCCCCTGTATATAGCTGTATATAGCCTGTATATTGACTCTGTACCGGTACACCCTGTATATCGCTGTATATAGCCTGTATATTGACTCTGTACCGGGTACCCCCTGATATAGCCTGATATTGACTCTGTTACCGGTACCCCTGTATATAGGCCTGTATATTGACTCTGTACGTACCCCCTGGATATAGCTTGTATATAGCCTGTATATTGACTCTTGTACCGGTACCCCCTGTATATAGCTGTATATAGCCTGTATTATGGACTCTGTACAGGGACCCACCTGGATATAGACCTGTTGTATATGACTCTGTACCAGGTACCCCAGTATTAGCCTGTATATTGACTCTGTACCGGTACCCCGTATAAGCCGTATATTGACTCTGTACTGGAACCTGATATAGATGTATATAGCCTGTATAGTGACTCTGTACTGGTACCCCCGTATATAGCTGTATATAGCTGGTATATTGACTCGGTGACTGGTACCCTGTATATAGCCGTATATTGACTCTGTACCAGTACCCCTGATGTATCTAGCTGTATAGTAGCCTGTATATTGACTCTGTACCGGTACCCCCTGTATATAGCCTGTATATTGACTCTGTACTGGTACCCCTGTATATAGCCTGTATATTGACTCTGTACCGGTACCCCCTGTATATAGCCTGTATATTGACTCTGTACCGGTACCCCCTGTATATAGCTGTATATAGCCTGTATATTGACTCTGTACCGGTACCCCCTGTATATAGCTGTATATAGCCTGTATATTGACTCTGTACCGGTACCCCCTGTATATAGCCTGTATATTGACTCTGTACCGGTACCCCCTGTATATAGCCTGTATATTGACTCTGTTCCGGTACCCCCTGTATATACCCTCCCTACTGTTATTTTACTGCTTTTATTTTTTACTTATCTATTGTTTACTGAACACTTATTTTTCTTAAAACTGCATCGTTGGTTAAGGGCTTGTCAGTAAGCATTTCACTGTAAGGTCTACAGCTGTTGTATTCGGCGCATGTGACAAATAACATTTGATTTGAGCCAGATATTTCACCGGATGTATAAATATGAAGCATCAGGTTGGCGTTTCCTCTTACTACCAAATATGGTGATGGGAGGAAGCGCAGTGGGAGAACAATGGATTTGGGCTGACATTCTGCAAATTTTCTAATCGATTAAACATTTAATTTTCATAGAGTATTCTGTTTCCAAAACTATAATCTATAACAAAAAGAGCGGACTGCGTTTTGTAGACTTTACCCTTTGCCAAAGTTTCTAAAAACGGCGTTGTTTAGGAGGAGTGCAAAGAGCGAATTGAGTAATTGCACACGCGTACTTCAAACTAGTCGTTCCCAAACGGAAATCTGCAAATAAATGCTAGAACGCGCCAATAGGATCTCACTAGGTTGTGCTTGGCTCTGCAAACCTCCTTGCTTGTTCTGCCCACTAAAGATGCATGTGTTCCCATTGGAAACGACAGGCTCTGGTCTATCTTGGGTTAGTTAATAAAATCTTTGGTGGTCGTTGAACAGATTATTGTTTAACTGATACTAAAAAACGAGATTCCGATACATTATACATTTCTGAGACGTTCCCATTTAAGTGATTGTCATTTACCACACGTAGACTTATCTTCCATCCCCATTCACAACCGTAAACCAAACCTTTGAAATGGGAGTACGGTCCCTTTAAATGGGAGTACGGTCCCTTTAAAAAACTGTCGCGCAACGCTGTCACCGCCCATGCGCAGAGAGCAACAGTGAGCTGTCACCGCCCATGCGCAGAGAGAGCGCAACAGTGAGCCGTCACCGCCCATGCGCAGAGAGAGCAACAGTGAGCCGTCACCGCCCATGCGCAGAGAGAGCAACAGTGAGCCGTCACCGCCCATGCGCAGAGAGAGCGGGCAACAGTGACTGAGAAAAACAACAACAATCGTTGGAACAAGGGAAGAGACGAGCGAGATGGCTCCATGAATACCGGCAAAACTTCATTCTTACCCAGTTACTATCCACAACCTACCCGACTGCTGCTTTCTCCCGAGGCTTGATTAGATGGTGCCGGGCCCATGAACTTGGCTAGTCAGAGCGGGGAGGCCGGCTGTAGCCAGCTCCTCTTCGCCAACTTTAACCAGGACAACACGTAAGGAAGGCCGGGGGGGAAGGGGAGAGGGTGGCCTAATGGTTACATGAGACTCGCAGAGGTTTTAACGTTTTCTATCGAGTAGTTGAAGGGGTCCCAGCCATCTGTATCTCGATGGAGAGAGATGCTAGTTAGCTAACTGACAAGCTGTCTGATCACGTTGCACATTTCCTACTATAGCTAGCTAGATAGCATCCATGTCGTGAGCTAAAGTGTCTGGATAAAGCCAGAAGCATAGACCGTTAGTGAGCTAGTTTAACACAACAAGGCGAGGGGAACAATAATATGATAGTTTATTAAAAGCTGAACCAATATCTGGGCAAACGGAGACGATGAATATTGACGATCTGATCTCTGCCCAGAAAGCTATCATTGAAGCTACCATTCACATGGGCCCTCGTTTATAAACGCTCCGTATGCTCAGAATATGCGCCAGTTTTCACGCAAAAGTCGCACAACTGAACTTGACTTGAGAATGTGCTTATCCTCCCGTAAACTTTAGACCATGCGTATGCACTAGTGCTGAACGATTAGTGCTTTTTTAGGTCGTTTCGGTTCATTATTTAAAAAAAATAACGGGTTTCGATTCTTTTTTTAAACATTAAATTCATAATGACAAAATGATTAGCGCTTTTTAATTGAAATGCCAAAGTCAAAAAAAAGAGTGGACATTCAATTGCCAAAACATTGAAAATATTCCATTGTCTCTGTCAGGTTCACATAGAAAAATAGGAAATTACTATTAAATGATAAAATATTTAAGTTGTGTATATTACTTCGTTTTATTTGTTGACTCTATAATTTTTAATTCCTTAAAGTCATCATCTCTGCTCAGGCAGTAGCAGCCAGCCTGACAACCATCTAACGTTATCTCTGTTCTCCCCAGACTGTATTGCCTTTAGCTAAACTGGGCTAGCCTGCCTAAGTATGCTGCAGAGCTGTCTGACGAAATCATTTTACTAGTTTTTCAAAGTAGATGAGGCAAACTTTCACGAATTCTATCCCTAGTCGTTGTTGTTGTCTACATTCCTCTCTCATGCCTCGACGTGCGGTTTGTGTCTGATTTATATATACACTAGATGACAGACACGGGGCGCTGTTTTGACGCCACCACGCCTCCATCTTGGCACTCCCCCGCCATTGTAAAAACATATTTGGGAAGGTATATAAAATGCATTTATTAATGTCTACATTTTGCTTTTGCCACGTTTATTCTATTACAGACACCTTAATGCATACTTTTAAATTACACAGTATTATGTGAGCTAAACATACAAATGAAAAAATATATAGACATTTTCCTTTAAAGTGTAATTTTTGGAAAGTTATAATGTTACTGTCCCCACTACAACAACAACAAATACTTAAACACATGTAATTTAGTCCTTGAAACCTTTAATTGAAATACTGTAGAATTCCTATGGAGGACTGCTCCTACTGGGGAGTGCCCAATATGGCCGACCGCTGGCAGTAAGCTTCTATGGAGGACTGCTCCTACTGGGGAGTGCCCAATATGGCCGACCGCTGGCAGGAAGCTTCTATGGAGGACTGCTCCTACTGGGGAGTGCCCAATATGGCTGACCGGTGGCAGTAAGCTTCTATGGAGGACTGCTCCTACTGGGGAGTGCCCAATATGGCCGACCGCTGGCAGTAAGCTTCTATGGAGGACTGCTCCTACTGGGGAGTGCCCAATATGGCCGACCGCTGGCAGGAAGCTTCTATGGAGGACTGCTCCTACTGGGGAGTGCCCAATATGGCCGACCGCTGGCAGGAAGCTTCTATGGAGGACTGCTCCTACTGGGGAGTGCCCAATATGGCCGACCGGTGGCAGGAAGCTTCTATGGAGGACTGCTCCTACTGGGGAGTGCCCAATATGGCCGACCGCTGGCAGGAAGCTTCTATGGAGGACTGCTCCTACTGGGGAGTGCCCATATGGCCGACCGCTGGCAGGAAGCTTCTATGGAGGACTGCTCCTACTGGGGAGTGCCCAATATGGCCGACCGGTGGCAGGAAGCTTCTATGGAGGACTGCTCCTACTGGGGAGTGCCCAATATGGCCGACCGGTGGCAGTAAGCTTCTATGGAGGACTGCTCCTACTGGGGAGTGCCCAATATGGCCGACCGCTGGCAGTAAGCTTCTATGGCATGTTTCATGTTTTGTGTGGAACCCAGGAAGAGTAGCTGCTGCTTTTGCAACAGCTAATGGGGATCCTAATAAAAATGGCAAAGGCCAAAAATGAAATATGTGTCACCAGCCTGTCTCTGGCCCTCTTCCCTCGGTCTCTCTCTCTCCCTCTCCATCAAGTCCTTATATCTGTTCTAACGTGTGTGTGTCTGTGTGTGTGTCTGTGTGTGTGTGTGTGTGATGTGTGTGTGTCTGTCTGTGTGTTGTGTGTGTGTGGTGTGTGTGTGTGTGTGTCTCCTCTCTCCAGGTCTTTAGCTGTTGGAACCAAATCAGGCTACAAGTTCTTCTCTCTATCGTCTGTGGACAAGTTGGAGCAGATTTATGAATGTAGTGAGTATCATATGGAATGGGTTAGGGTTACAATATGGACCATATAGAAATCCTGCCCTTACTAGATAGTACACAGTCATAGCCATCAGTCTGAATGTAGTGAGTATCATATGGAATGGGTTAGGGTTACAATATGGACTATATAGAAATCCTGCCCTTACTAGATAGCACACAATCATAGCCATCAGTCTGAATGTAGTGAGTATCATATGGAATGGGTTAGGGTTACAATATGGACTATATAGAAATCCTGCCCTTACTAGATAGTACACAGTCATAGCCATCAGTCTGAATGTAGTGAGTATCATATGGAATGGGTTAGGGTTACAATATGGACTATATAGAAATCCTGCCCTTACTAGATAGTACACAGTCATAGCCATCCGTCTGAATGTAGTGAGTATCATATGGAATGGGTTAGGGTTACAATATGGACTATATAGAAATCCTGCCCTTACTAGATAGCACACAGTCATAGCCATCAGTCTGAATGTAGTGAGTATCATATGGAATGGGTTAGGGTTACAATATGGACTATATAGAAATCCTGCCCTTACTAGATAGCACACAGTCATAGCCATCAGTCTGAATGTAGTGAGTATCATATGGAATGGGTTAGGGTTACAATATGGACTATATAGAAATCCTGCCCTTACTAGATAGCACACAGTCATAGCCATCCGTCTGAATGTAGTATTACTGTAATATGGACTGACTACATATTTACTAAATATATCCAGTGCATTCGGAAAGTGTTCAGACCCCTTGACTTTTTCCACACGTTGTTACGTTACGGCCTTATTCTAAAATGGATTCAATTGCTTTTTCCCCCTCATCAATCTACACACAATACCCCATAATGACAAAGCAAAAACTGGTTTTTATAAATGTTTGCTAATTTATAACAACAACAAAAAAAGAAGGAAATATCACATTTACATAAGTATTCAGACCCTTTACTCAGTACTTTGTTGAAGCACCTTCGGCAGCGATTACAGCCTCGAGTCTTCTTGGGGTATGACGCTACAAGCTTGGCACACCTGTATTTGGGGAGTTTCTCCCATTCTTCTCTGCAGATCCTCTCAAGCTCTGTCAGGTTGGATGGGGAGCGTCACTGCATAGCTATTTTCAGGTCTCTCCTGAGATGTTCGATTGGGTTCAAGTCCGGGCTCTGGCTGGGCCACTCAAGGACATTCAGAGACTTGTCCCGAAGCCACTCCTGCGTTGTCTTGGCTGTGTGCTTAGGGTCGTTGTCCTGTTGGAAGGTGAACCTTCACCCCAGTCTGAGGTCCTGAGCACTCTGGAGCAGGTTTTCATCAAGGATCTCTCTGTACTTTGCTCCGTTCATCTTTCCCACGATCCTGACTAGTCTCGCAGTTCCTGCTGCTGAAAAACATCCCCACAGCATGATGCTACCACCACCATGCTTCACCATAGGGATGGTGCCAGGTTTCCTACAGATGTGACGCTTGGCATTCAGCCCAAAGAGTTCAATCTTGATTTCATCAGACCAGAGAATCTTGTTTCTCATTGTCTGAGAGTCCTTTAGGTGCCTTTAGGCAAACTCCAAGCGGGCTGTCATGTTCCTTTTACTGAGGAGTGGCTTCCATCTGGACACTCTACCATAAAGGCCTGATTGGTGGCGTGCTGCAGAGATGGTTGTCCTTCTGGAAGGTTCTCCCATTTTCACAGAGGAACTCTGGAGCTCTGTCAGAGTGACCATTGGGTTCTTGGTCACCTCCCTGACCAAGGCCCTTCTCCCGCGATTGCTCAGTTTGGCCGGGCGGCCAGCTCTAGGAAGAGTCTTGGTGGTTCCAAACTTCTTCCATTTAAGAACGATGGAGGCCACTGTGTTCTTAGGGACCTTCAATGCTGCAGAAATGTTTTGGTACCCTTCCCCAGATCTGTGCCTTGACACAATCCTGTCTCAGAGCTCTACGGACAATTCCTTCGACCTCATGGCTTGGTTTTTACTCCTGAGTGGTGCAGTGGTCTAAGGCACTGCATCGCAGTGCTAACTGTGCCACTAGAGATCCTGGTTCATATCCAGGCTCTGTCGCAGCTGGCCGCGACCGGGAGACTCATGGGCGGCGCACAATTGGCCCAGCGTCGTCCAGGGTAGGGAAGGGAATGGCCGGCAGGGATGTAGCTCAGTTGATAGAGCATGGCGTTTGCAACGCCAGGGTTGTGGGTTCGATTCCCACGGGGGGCCAGTATAAAAAAAAAAAAAAAAAGGATTCACTAACTGTAAGTCGCTCTGGATAAGAGCGTCTGCTAAATGACGTAAATGTAAAAATGTAAATGTTTTTGCTCTGACATGCACTGTCAACTGTGGGACCTTATATAGACAGGTGTGTGCCTTTCCAAATCATGTCCAATCAATTGAATTTACCACTGGTGGACTCCAAGTTGTAGAAACATCAATGGAAACAGGATGCACCTGAGCTCAATTTCGAGTCTCATAGCAAAGGGTCTGAATACTTATGTAAATAAGGTATTTCTGTGTTTTATTTGTAATACCTTTGCAAAAATTCAAAAAAACTGTTTTCACTTTGTCATTATGGGGTATTGTGTGTAGATTTGATGAGGGGGAAAAAACGATTTAATCAATTTTAGAATAAGGCTGTAACGTAACAAAATGTGGAAAAAGTAAAGGGGTCTGAATACTTTCCGAAGGCACTGTACAAACACTACATATATGTATTCCACTCACAGTCCAAACAGTCATAGTCCCCGCTGGTAATGTAGTATCATAATAATATGGAATTACTCTCCTCTATAATATTACTATTACTGTTTGGTAGTAATGGGGTGTGTGTGTGTGTGGTGTGTGGTGTGTGGTGTGTGGTGTGTGGTGTGTGGTGTGTGGTGTGTGGTGTGTGTGTGTGTGTGTGTGTGTGTGTGTGTGCGTCCAGCGGACACGGAGGATGTGTGTATTGTAGAGCGTCTGTTCAGCAGTAGTCTGGTGGCCATCGTCAGTCTGAAGGCTCCCAGGAAGCTAGTAATGGGGGGTGCTATAATATTACTATTACTGTTTGGTAGTAATGGGGTGTGTGTGGTGTGTGTGTGTGTGTGTGTGTGTGTGTGTGTGTGTGTGTGTGTGTGTGTGCGCCCAGCGGACACGGAGGATGTGTGTATTGTAGAGCGTCTGTTCAGCAGTAGTCTGGTGGCCATCGTCAGTCTGAAGGCTCCCAGGAAGCTAGTAATGGGGGGTGTGCGTGCGTGCGTGCGCGCGCCCAGCGGACACGGAGGATGTGTGTATTGTAGAGCGTCTGTTCAGCAGTAGTCTGGTGGCCATCGTCAGTCTGAAGGCTCCCAGGAAGCTAGTAATGGGGGGTGCTATAATATTACTATTACTGTTTGGTAGTAATGGGGTGTGTGGTGTGTGTGTGTGTGTGTGTGTGTGCGCCCAGCGGACACGGAGGATGTGTGTATTGTAGAGCGTCTATTCAGCAGTAGTCTGGTGGCCATCGTCAGTCTGAAGGCTCCCAGGAAGCTAGTAATGGGGGGTGCTATAATATTACTATTACTGTTTGGTAGTAATGGGGTGTGTGTGTGTGTGTGTGTGTGGTGTGTGTGTGTGTGTGTGTGTGTGCGCCAGCGGACACGGAGGATGTGTGTATTGTAGAGCGTCTATTCAGCAGTAGTCTGGTGGCCATCGTCAGTCTGAAGGCTCCCAGGAAGCTAGTAATGGGGGGTGCTATAATATTACTATTACTGTTTGGTAGTAATGGGGTGTGTGGTGTGTGTGTGTGTGTGTGTGTGTGCGCCAGCGGACACGGAGGATGTGTGTATTGTAGAGCGTCTGTTCAGCAGTAGTCTGGTGGCCATCGTCAGTCTGAAGGCTCCCAGGAAGCTAGTAATGGGGGGTGCTATAATATTACTATTACTGTTTGGTAGTAATGGGGTGTGTGTGTGTGGTGTGTGGTGTGTGTGTGTGTGTGCGCCCAGCGGACACGGAGGATGTGTGTATTGTAGAGCGTCTGTTCAGCAGTAGTCTGGTGGCCATCGTCAGTCTGAAGGCTCCCAGGAAGCTAGTAATGGGGGGTGCTATAATATTACTATTACTGTTTGGTAGTAATGGGGTGTGTGTGGTGTGTGTGTGTGTGTGTGTGTGTGCGTCCAGCGGACACGGAGGATGTGTGTATTGTAGAGCGTCTGTTCAGCAGTAGTCTGGTGGCCATCGTCAGTCTGAAGGCTCCCAGGAAGCTAGTAATGGGGGGTGCTATAATATTACTATTACTGTTTGGTAGTAATGGGGTGTGTGTGTGGTGTGTGTGGTGTGTGGTGTGTGTGTGTGTGCGTCCAGCGGACACGGAGGATGTGTGTATTGTAGAGCGTCTGTTCAGCAGTAGTCTGGTGGCCATCGTCAGTCTGAAGGCTCCCAGGAAGCTAGTAATGGGGGGTGCTATAATATTACTATTACTGTTTGGTAGTAATGGGGTGTGTGTGTGTGTGTGTGTGTGTGTGTGCGCCCAGCGGACACGGAGGATGTGTGTATTGTAGAGCGTCTATTCAGCAGTAGTCTGGTGGCCATCGTCAGTCTGAAGGCTCCCAGGAAGCTAGTAATGGGGGGTGCTATAATATTACTATTACTGTTTGGTAGTAATGGGGTGTGTGTGTGTGTGTGGTGTGTGTGTGTGCGTGCGTCCAGCGGACACGGAGGATGTGTGTATTGTAGAGCGTCTATTCAGCAGTAGTCTGGTGGCCATCGTCAGTCTGAAGGCTCCCAGGAAGCTAGTAATGGGGGGTGCTATAATATTACTATTACTGTTTGGTAGTAATGGGGGTGTGTGGTGTGTGTGTGTGTGTGTGTGTGTGTGCGCCAGCGGACACGGAGGATGTGTGTATTGTAGAGCGTCTGTTCAGCAGTAGTCTGGTGGCCATCGTCAGTCTGAAGGCTCCCAGGAAGCTAGTAATGGGGGGTGCTATAATATTACTATTACTGTTTGGTAGTAATGGTGTGTGTGTGTGTGTGTGTGTGTGTGGTGTGTGGTGTGTGTGGTGTGTGTGTGTGTGTGTGCGCCCAGCGGACACGGAGGATGTGTGTATTGTAGAGCGTCTGTTCAGCAGTAGTCTGGTGGCCATCGTCAGTCTGAAGGCTCCCAGGAAGCTAGTAATGGGGGGTGCTATAATATTACTATTACTGTTTGGTAGTAATGGGGTGTGTGTGTGTGTGTGTGTGGTGTGTGTGTGTGTGTGTGTGTGTGCGTCCAGCGGACACGGAGGATGTGTGTATTGTAGAGCGTCTGTTCAGCAGTAGTCTGGTGGCCATCGTCAGTCTGAAGGCTCCCAGGAAGCTAGTAATGGGGGGTGCTATAATATTACTATTACTGTTTGGTAGTAATGGGGTGTGTGTGTGTGTGTGTGTGTGTGTGTGTGTGTGTGTGTGTGTGTGCGCCAGCGGACACGGAGGATGTGTGTATTGTAGAGCGTCTATTCAGCAGTAGTCTGGTGGCCATCGTCAGTCTGAAGGCTCCCAGGAAGCTAGTAATGGGGGGGTGCTATAATATTACTATTACTGTTTGGTAGTAATGGGGTGTGTGTGTGTGGTGTGTGGTGTGTGTGTGTGTGTGTGTGTGCGCCAGCGGACACGGAGGATGTGTGTATTGTAGAGCGTCTGTTCAGCAGTAGTCTGGTGGCCATCGTCAGTCTGAAGGCTCCCAGGAAGCTAGTAATGGGGGGTGCTATAATATTACTATTACTGTTTGGTAGTAATGGGGTGTGTGTGGTGTGTGTGTGTGTGTGTGTGTGTGTGTGTGTGGTGTGTGTGTGTGTGTGCGCCCAGCGGACACGGAGGATGTGTGTATTGTAGAGCGTCTGTTCAGCAGTAGTCTGGTGGCCATCGTCAGTCTGAAGGCTCCCAGGAAGCTAGTAATGGGGGGTGCTATAATATTACTATTACTGTTTGGTAGTAATGGGGTGTGTGTGTGGTGTGTGTGTGTGTGTGTGTGTGTGTGTGGTGTGTGTGTGTGTGTGCGTCCAGCGGACACGGAGGATGTGTGTATTGTAGAGCGTCTATTCAGCAGTAGTCTGGTGGCCATCGTCAGTCTGAAGGCTCCCAGGAAGCTAGTAATGGGGGGTGCTATAATATTACTATTACTGTTTGGTAGTAATGGGGTGTGTGTGTGTGTGTGTGTGTGTGTGTGTGTGTGTGTGTGCGCCCAGCGGACACGGAGGATGTGTGTATTGTAGAGCGTCTGTTCAGCAGTAGTCTGGTGGCCATCGTCAGTCTGAAGGCTCCCAGGAAGCTAGTAATGGGGGGTGCTATAATATTACTATTACTGTTTGGTAGTAATGGGGTGTGTGTGTGTGTGTGTGTGTGTGTGTGTGTGTGTGTGTGTGCGCGCCCAGCGGACACGGAGGATGTGTGTATTGTAGAGCGTCTGTTCAGCAGTAGTCTGGTGGCCATCGTCAGTCTGAAGGCTCCCAGGAAGCTAGTAATGGGGGGTGCTATAATATTACTATTACTGTTTGGTAGTAATGGGGGGGTGTGTGTGTGTGTGTGTGTGTGTGTGTGTGTGTGCGCCCAGCGGACACGGAGGATGTGTGTATTGTAGAGCGTCTGTTCAGCAGTAGTCTGGTGGCCATCGTCAGTCTGAAGGCTCCCAGGAAGCTAGTAATGGGGGGTGCTATAATATTACTATTACTGTTTGGTAGTAATGGGGGGTGTGTGGTGTGTGTGTGTGTGGTGTGTGTGTGTGTGTGTGTGTGTGTGTGTGTGTGTGTGTGTGCGTCCAGCGGACACGGAGGATGTGTGTATTGTAGAGCGTCTATTCAGCAGTAGTCTGGTGGCCATCGTCAGTCTGAAGGCTCCCAGGAAGCTAGTAATGGGGGGGTGCTATAATATTACTATTACTGTTTGGTAGTAATGGGGTGTGTGTGTGTGTGTGTGTGTGTGTGTGTGTGCGCCAGCGGACACGGAGGATGTGTGTATTGTAGAGCGTCTGTTCAGCAGTAGTCTGGTGGCCATCGTCAGTCTGAAGGCTCCCAGGAAGCTAGTAATGGGGGGTGCTATAATATTACTATTACTGTTTGGTAGTAATGGGGTGTGTGTGTGTGTGTGCGCCCAGCGGACACGGAGGATGTGTGTATTGTAGAGCGTCTATTCAGCAGTAGTCTGGTGGCCATTGTCAGTCTGAAGGCTCCCAGGAAGCTAGTAATGGGGGGTGCTATAATATTACTATTACTGTTTGGTAGTAATGGGGTGTGTGTGTGTGTGTGTGTGTGTGTGTGTGTGTGTGTGTGCGCCCAGCGGACACGGAGGATGTGTGTATTGTAGAGCGTCTATTCAGCAGTAGTCTGGTGGCCATCGTCAGTCTGAAGGCTCCCAGGAAGCTGAAGGTCTGTCACTTCAAGAAGGGAACAGAGATCTGCAACTACAGTTACAGCAACACGATACTGGCTGTCAAGCTCAACAGACAGGTAGGTACATACACTACACTACACACACTACATACACACACACCATCAACACACACACCATACACACACCACACCATACACACACCACACCACACCATACACACACACACACACACACACACACACACACACCATACACACACCACACCACACACACACACACACACACACACACACACACACCACACACACACACACACACCACACACACACACACACACACACACACACCATACACACACACACACACACACCATACACACACACAAATACACCACACACACACACCACACACACACCACACACACTACACACACACACACACACACACACACACCACACACTATACACTTAGTTAGTGTTAGTTAGGGTTAGTTAGGGTTAGTTAGGGTTAGTTAGGGTTAGTTATGATTAGGGTTAGTTAGGGTTAGGGTTAGTTATGATTAGTGTTAGTTAGTGTTAGTTAGGGTTAGGGTTAGTGTTAGTTATGATTAGTGTTAGTTAGGGTTAGTTATGATTAGTGTTAGTTAGGGTTAGTGTGGTTTAAATTCATTAAAAATCCTACAATGTGATTTTCTGGATTTTTCTTTCTAATTTTGTCTGTCATAGTTGACGTGTACCTATGATGAAAATTACAGGCCTCTCATCTTTTTAAGTGGGAGAACTTGCACAATTGGTGGCTGACTAAATAAAAATTTTCCCCCACTGTATGTCTGGATCTGTGTTTCAGAGGCTGATAGTGTGTCTTGTTTCAGAGGCTGATAGTATGTCTTGTTTCAGAGGCTGATAGTGTGTCTTGTTTCAGAGGCTGATAGTATGTCTTGTTTCAGAGGCTGATAGTATGTCTGGATCTGTGTTTCAGAGGCTGATAGTATGTCTGGATCTGTGTTTCAGAGGCTGATAGTATGTCTGGATCTGTGTTTCAGAGGCTGATAGTATGTCTGGATCTGTGTTTCAGAGGCTGATAGTATGTCTTGTTTCAGAGGCTGATAGTATGTCTGGATCTGTGTTTCAGAGGCTGATAGTGTGTCTGGATCTGTGTTTCAGAGGCTGATAGTGTGTCTGGATCTGTGTTTCAGAGGCTGATAGTGTGTCTGGATCTGTGTTTCAGAGGCTGATAGTATGTCTTGTTTCAGAGGCTGATAGTATGTCTTGATCTGTGTTTCAGAGGCTGATAGTATGTCTGGATCTGTGTTTCAGAGGCTGATAGTGTGTCTGGATCTGTGTTTCAGAGGCTGATAGTATGTCTGGATCTGTGTTTCAGAGGCTGATAGTGTGTCTTGTTTCAGAGGCTGATAGTATGTCTGGATCTGTGTTTCAGAGGCTGATAGTGTGTCTTGTTTCAGAGGCTGATAGTATGTCTGGATCTGTGTTTCAGAGGCTGATAGTATGTCTGGATCTGTGTTTCAGAGGCTGATAGTGTGTCTTGTTTCAGAGGCTGATAGTATGTCTGGATCTGTGTTTCAGAGGCTGATAGTGTGTCTTGTTTCAGATGCTGATAGTATGTCTGGATCTGTGTTTCAGAGGCTGATAGTATGTCTGGATCTGTGTTTCAGAGGCTGATAGTATGTCTGGATCTGTGTTTCAGAGGCTGATAGTATGTCTTGTTTCAGAGGCTGATAGTATGTCTGGATCTGTGTTTCAGAGGCTGATAGTATGTCTGGATCTGTGTTTCAGAGGCTGATAGTGTGTCTGGATCTGTGTTTCAGAGGCTGATAGTATGTCTTGTTTCAGAGGCTGATAGTATGTCTGGATCTGTGTTTCAGAGGCTGATAGTATGTCTGGATCTGTGTTTCAGAGGCTGATAGTATGTCTGGATCTGTGTTTCAGAGGCTGATAGTATGTCTTGTTTCAGAGGCTGATAGTATGTCTTGTTTCAGAGGCTGATAGTATGTCTGGATCTGTGTTTCAGAGGCTGATAGTATGTCTGGATCTGTGTTTCAGAGGCTGATAGTATGTCTGGATCTGTGTTTCAGAGGCTGATAGTATGTCTTGTTTCAGAGGCTGATAGTATGTCTTGTTTCAGAGGCTGATAGTATGTCTGGATCTGTGTTTCAGAGGCTGATAGTGTGTCTTGTTTCAGAGGCTGATAGTATGTCTGGATCTGTGTTTCAGAGGCTGATAGTATGTCTTGTTTCAGAGGCTGATAGTATGTCTGGATCTGTGTTTCAGAGGCTGATAGTATGTCTGGATCTGTGTTTCAGAGGCTGATAGTGTGTCTGGATCTGTGTTTCAGAGGCTGATAGTATGTCTTGTTTCAGAGGCTGATAGTATGTCTGGATCTGTGTTTCAGAGGCTGATAGTATGTCTTGTTTCAGAGGCTGATAGTATGTCTGGATCTGTGTTTCAGAGGCTGATAGTGTGTCTGGATCTGTGTTTCAGAGGCTGATAGTGTGTCTGGATCTGTGTTTCAGAGGCTGATAGTATGTCTGGATCTGTGTTTCAGAGGCTGATAGTATGTCTGGATCTGTGTTTCAGAGGCTGATAGTGTGTCTTGTTTCAGAGGCTGATAGTATGTCTGGATCTGTGTTTCAGAGGCTGATAGTGTGTCTTGTTTCAGAGGCTGATAGTATGTCTGGATCTGTGTTTCAGAGGCTGATAGTATGTCTGGATCTGTGTTTCAGAGGCTGATAGTATGTCTGGATCTGTGTTTCAGAGGCTGATAGTATGTCTGGATCTGTGTTTCAGAGGCTGATAGTATGTCTTGTTTCAGAGGCTGATAGTATGTCTGGATCTGTGTTTCAGAGGCTGATAGTATGTCTGGATCTGTGTTTCAGAGGCTGATAGTGTGTCTGGATCTGTGTTTCAGAGGCTGATAGTGTGTCTTGTTTCAGAGGCTGATAGTGTGTCTGGATCTGTGTTTCAGAGGCTGATAGTATGTCTTGTTTCAGAGGCTGATAGTATGTCTTGTTTCAGAGGCTGATAGTATGTCTTGTTTCAGAGGCTGATAGTATGTCTTGTTTCAGAGGCTGATGGTATGTCTGGATCTGTGTTTCAGAGTCTGATAGTGTGTCTTGTTTCAGAGGCTGATTGTATGTCTGGATCTGTGTTTCAGAGGCTGATAATATGTCTTGTTTCAGAGGCTGATAGTGTGTCTGGATCTGTGTTTCAGAGGCTGATAGTATGTCTTGTTTCAGAGGCTGATAGTGTGTCTGGATATGTGTTTCAGAGGCTGATAGTGTGTCTGGATCTGTGTTTCAGAGGCTGATAGTCAGGATTTGTGTTTCAGAGGCTGATAGTATGTCTGGATCTGTGTTTCAGAGGCTGATAGTATGTCTGGATCTGTGTTTCAGAGGCTGATAGTATGTCTTGTTTCAGAGGCTGATAGTATGTCTGGATCTGTGTTTCAGAGGCTGATAGTATGTCTGGATCTGTGTTTCAGAGGCTGATAGTGTGTCTGGATCTGTGTTTCAGAGGCTGATAGTGTGTCTTGTTTCAGAGGCTGATAGTGTGTCTGGATCTGTGTTTCAGAGGCTGATAGTATGTCTTGTTTCAGAGGCTGATAGTATGTCTTGTTTCAGAGGCTGATAGTATGTCTTGTTTCAGAGGCTGATGGTATGTCTGGATCTGTGTTTCAGAGTCTGATAGTGTGTCTTGTTTCAGAGGCTGATTGTATGTCTGGATCTGTGTTTCAGAGGCTGATAATATGTCTTGTTTCAGAGGCTGATAGTGTGTCTGGATCTGTGTTTCAGAGGCTGATAGTATGTCTGGATCTGTGTTTCAGAGGCTGATAGTATGTCTGGATCTGTGTTTCAGAGGCTGATAGTATGTCTGGATCTGTGTTTCAGAGGCTGATAGTATGTCAGGATCTGTGTTTCAGAGGCTGATAGTATGTCTGGATCTGTGTTTCAGAGGCTGATAGTATGTCTTGTTTCAGAGGCTGATAGTATGTCTGGATCTGTGTTTCAGAGGCTGATAGTATGTCTGGATCTGTGTTTCAGAGGCTGATAGTATGTCTTGTTTCAGAGGCTGATAGTATGTCTTGTTTCAGAGGCTGATAGTATGTCTTGTTTCAGAGGCTGATAGTGTGTCTTGTTTCAGAGGCTGATAGTGTGTCTTGTTTCAGAGGCTGATAGTATGTCTGGATCTGTGTTTCAGAGGCTGATAGTATGTCTGGATCTGTGTTTCAGAGGCTGATAGTATGTCTTGTTTCAGAGGCTGATAGTATGTCTGGATCTGTGTTTCAGAGGCTGATAGTGTGTCTTGTTTCAGAGGCTGATAGTGTGTCTTGTTTCAGAGGCTGATAGTGTGTCTTGTTTCAGAGGCTGATAATGTGTCTTGTTTCAGAGGCTGATAGTGTGTCTTGTTTCAGAGGCTGATAGTGTGTCTTGTTTCAGAGGCTGATAGTGTGTCTTGTTTCAGAGGCTGATAGTGTGTCTTGTTTCAGAGGCTGATAGTGTGTCTTGTTTCAGAGGCTGATAGTATGTCTTGTTTCAGAGGCTGATAGTGTGTCTTGTTTCAGAGGCTGATAGTGTGTCTTGTTTCAGAGGCTGATAGTATGTCTGGATCTGTGTTTCAGAGGCTGATAGTGTGTCTTGTTTCAGAGGCTGATAGTGTGTCTTGTTTCAGAGGCTGATAGTGTGTCTTGTTTCAGAGGCTGATAGTGTGTCTTGTTTCAGAGGCTGATAGTGTGTCTTGTTTCAGAGGCTGATAGTGTGTCTTGTTTCAGAGGCTGATAGTGTGTCTTGTTTCAGAGGCTGATAGTGTGTCTTGTTTCAGAGGCTGATAGTGTGTCTTGTTTCAGAGGCTGATAGTATGTCTGGATCTGTGTTTCAGAGGCTGATAGTGTGTCTTGTTTCAGAGGCTGATAATGTGTCTTGTTTCAGAGGCTGATAGTGTGTCTTGTTTCAGAGGCTGATAGTGTGTCTTGTTTCAGAGGCTGATAGTGTGTCTTGTTTCAGAGGCTGATAGTGTGTCTTGTTTCAGAGGCTGATAGTGTGTCTTGTTTCAGAGGCTGATAGTGTGTCTTGTTTCAGAGGCTGATAGTGTGTCTTGTTTCAGAGGCTGATAGTATGTCTGGATCTGTGTTTCAGAGGCTGATAGTATGTCTGGATCTGTGTTTCAGAGGCTGATAGTATGTCTGGATCTGTGTTTCAGAGGCTGATAGTATGTCTGGATCTGTGTTTCAGAGGCTGATAGTGTGTCTTGTTTCAGAGGCTGATAGTGTGTCTTGTTTCAGAGGCTGATAGTCTGTCTTGTTTCAGAGGCTGATAGTATGTCTTGTTTCAGAGGCTGATAGTATGTCTTGTTTCAGAGGCTGATAGTCTGTCTTGTTTCAGAGGCTGATAGTATGTCTTGTTTCAGAGGCTGATAGTATGTCTGGAGGAGTCTCTTTACGTCCACAACATCAGAGACATGAAGGTCCTGCACACCATCAGAGAGACGCCTCCCAACCCCTCAGGTAAGAACTGGGATCATTTATTTGGCACGTCTTCCATAGTTCACTTATAGTTAGTTATGATATTTACCTGGCAAACATTAGTAGTGAATTTCAAGCATAAGTTGATCACCTCTCTTGTGCTGCACAGCAGTGGAACGTCACGTCACGAAGCTTCCGCTTGCTCCCCGTGCTCTTAGTAAACAACCACACCATGTGACTGGTCCAATCAGCTGCTCTGGGATGTGGCTGGCTCAATCAGCTGCTTTGGGATGTGGCTGGCTCAATCAGCTGCTTTGGGATGTGACTGGCTCAATCAGCTGCTTTGGGATGTGACTGGCTCAATCAGTCCATGTGGGTTTTAATGACATTATGAAGGGCAGCTCTGAACAGTTGAACCTGGATTTCAAAGAGCTGATTTTCTGCTAGACACTAATAAAAGACCCATCATATCTGGCCCTGTGCCCTCTCTGAATCATGGCATCATATCTGGCCCTGTTCCCTCTCTGAATCATGGCATCATATCTGGCCCTGTGCCCTCTCTGAATCATGGCATCATATCTGGCCCTGTGCCCTCTCTGAATCATGGCATCATATCTGGCCCTGTGCCCTCTCTGAATCATGGCATCATATCTGGCCCTGTTCCCTCTCTGAATCGTGGCATCATATCTGGCCCTGTGCCCTCTCTGAATCATGGCATCATATCTGGCCCTGTGCCCTCTCTGAATCATGGCATCATATCTGGCCCTGTGCCCTCTCTGAATCATGGCATCATATCTGGCCCTGTGTCCTCTCTGAATCATGGCATCATATCTGGCCCTGTGCCCTCTCTGAATCGTGGCATTGAACGCTTTAGCAGGATTCTTTCTCTTCACAACTGGCTATGTGATTGTTGCAGCTCAATGGGTGTAACTTTTGTTGACAATTTCAATACCTTTTGGAAACAAACCACGTTTTATAAGGAGGATGGGATCCACCCAAATAATTTGGGTTCCTGGATCCTTTCACAGCATTATAAGGCTGCCTTGAGACAATGACTTATCAATGACCCCAGCTCAGTTAATCCCTACCATTGTGCCACTGAGTCATCATAATTCTTTAGCAAATACCAGGGGCATTGGTAGACACAATGTAAGTAACCTAATTTCTGTCCCTCTTACTGCCCGGAATGCCTCTGCTGATCCTACAACTATTGTATGCAGCAATCATGTGTCTATGAACCAGAGTAATACTGTTAGCACTGAGGCGGTGTGCCCTAGTAGGAAGTCGACTGTGTGCAGCTCACCCTGCACTAACATAAATAACATGAGAATATCCACTTCTGCTAAGCTTCCCAGTAAAGCAATGAAAACAAGCAAGCATCCCAGAAAAGTGCTCAAAATAGCCCACGTTAACATATGTAGCTTAAGAAACAAGGTTCATGAAATTAATAACTTGCTAGTAACAGATGACATTCATATTTTGACTATTTCCGAGACTCACTTAGACAATAGCTTTTGATACAGTGGTAGCAATACAAGGTTAAAACATCTACAGAAAATACAGAAATGCCAACGGGGGCGGTGTTGCTGTTTATATTCAGAACCACATTCCTGTAAAGCTTAGAGAGGATCTCATGTTAAATACTGTTGAAGTAATATGGCTACAGGTTCACCTGCCTCACCTAAAGCCCATTCTGGTGGTAATATGGCTACAGGTTCATCTGCCTCACCTAAAGCCCATTCTGGTGGTAATATGGCTACAGGTTCACCTGCCTCACCTAAAGCCCATTCTGGTGGTAATATGGCTACAGGTTCATCTGCCTCACCTAAAGCCCATTCTGGTGGTAATATGGCTACAGGTTCACCTGCCTCACCTAAAGCCCATTCTGGTGGTAATATGGCTACAGGTTCATCTGCCTCACCTAAAGCCCATTCTGGTGGTAATATGGCTACAGGTTCATCTGCCTCACCTAAAGCCCATTCTGGTGGTAATATGGCTACAGGTTCACCTGCCTCACCTAAAGCCCATTCTGGTGGTAATATGGCTACAGGTTCATCTGCCTCACCTAAAGCCCATTCTGGTGGTAATATGGCTACAGGTTCATCTGCCTCACCTAAAGCCCATTCTGGTGGTAATATGGCTACAGGTTCATCTGCCTCACCTAAAGCCCATTCTGGTGGTAATATGGCTACAGGTTCATCTGCCTCACCTAAAGCCCATTCTGGTGGTAATATGGCTACAGGTTCACCTGCCTCACCTAAAGCCCATTCTGGTGGTAATATGGCTACAGGTTCATCTGCCTCACCTAAAGCCCATTCTGGTGGTAATATGGCTACAGGTTCATCTGCCTCACCTAAAGCCCATTCTGGTGGTAATATGGCTACAGGTTCATCTGCCTCACCTAAAGCCCATTCTGGTGGTAATATGGCTACAGGTTCATCTGCCTCACCTAAAGCCCATTCTGGTGGTAATATGGCTACAGGTTCACCTGCCTCACCTAAAGCCCATTCTGGTGGTAATATGGCTACAGGTTCACCTGCCTCACCTGAAGCCCATTCTTTACTAATGTCATGCCACTGCCTTTGAGTAAAGCCAGTGTGTCTATGTATGCGGATGACTCAACACTATACAGGTCAGCTACTACAGCGACTGAAATGACTGCAACACTTAACAAAGAGCTGCAGTTAGTTTCAGAATGGGTGGCAAGGAATAAGTTAGTCCTAAATATTTATATAACTAAAAGCATTGTATTTGGGACAAATCATTCACTAAACCTCAACTAAATCTTGTAATATATAATGTGGAAATTGAGCAAATAGTCTGGGTAGCCATTTGATTAGATGTTCAGGAGTCTTATGGCTTGGGGGTAGAAGCTGTTTACAAGCCTCTTGGTCCTAGACTTGGCGCTCCGGTACCGCTTGCCGTGTGGTAGCAGAGAGAACAGTCTATGACTAGGGTGGCTGGAGTCTTTGACACCGCCTGGTATAGAGGTCCTGAATGGCAGAAAGCTTGGCCCCAGTGATGTACTGGGTCGTATGCCCTACCCTCTGTAGTGCCTTGCGGTCGGAGGCCGAGCAGTTGCCATACCAGGCAGTGATGCAACCAGTCAGGATGCTCTCGATGGTGCAGCTGTAGAATATTTTCAGTCTCCTTAGGGGGACTTGCACGCAGCTCAGACACCCATGCATACCCCACAAGACATGCCACCAGAGGTCTCTTCACAGTCCCCAAGTCCAGAACAGATTATGGGAGGCGCACAGTACTACATAGAGCCATGACTACATGGAACTCTATTCCACATCAGGTAACTGATGCAAGCAGTAGAATCAGATTTAAAAAACAGATAGAAATACACCTCATGGAACAGCGGGGACTGTGAAGAGACACACAGACACAGACACACATACACACACACAATAACATACGCACTATACACACACGTACACATGGATTTTGTACTGTAGATATGTGGTAGTGGAGTAGGGGCCTGAGGGCACACAGTGTGTTGTGAAATCTGTTATGAATGTATTGTAATGTTTTTAAAGTTGTATAACTGCCTTAATTTTGCTGCACCCCAGGAAGAGTAGCTGCTGCCTTGTGTATCCAAGATGGCATAGCAGTGCCTTGGAAGCAGCTAATGGGGATCCATAATAAATACAAATGCAAATATTAGCCTAGTGCACAATTGACTGCAGGTCAATTTATGTAAAAATAACATATTCACATTTATGAAAAAAACAAGCTAAAAACAGTTTCAACAATATTGAAAATCATACTGTGGGTATTTTACCAACCTCTCAGGTAAGAACCTAACTTAACCTATGCCTAAATCTGACCTCTCAGGTAAAAACTTAACCTATAACTAAATCTAACCTAACCTAAACCTAACCCAACCCCTCAGGTAAAAACCTACACTATATATACAAAACTATGTGGACACCCCTTCAAATTAGTGGATTCAGCTATTTCAGCCACACCCGTTGCTGACAGGTGTATAAAATCGAGCACACAGCCATGCAATCTCCATATACAAACATTTGCAGTAGAATGGCCTTACTAAAGAGTTCAGTGACTTTCAACAAGCTCACAGAACGGGACCGCTGAATCGTGTAGCTCGTAAAAATTGTCTGTCCTTGGTTGCAACACTCACTACCGAGTTCCAAACTGCCTCTGGAAGCAACGTCAGCACAAGAACTGTTCGTCACAAGCCTAAGATCATCATGCGCAATGCTGAGCGTCGGCTGGAGTGGTGTAAAGTTCGCCGGCATTGGACTCTGGAGCAGTGGAAACGCGTTCTCTGGAGTGATGAATCACACTTCGCCATCTGGCAGTCCGACGGATGAATCTGGCTTTGGCGGCTGCCAGGAGAACGCTACCTGCCACAATGCATAGTGCCAACTGTAAGGTTTGGTGGAGAAGGAATAATGGTCTGGGGCTGTTTTTCATGGTTCGGGATAGGCCCATTAATTCCAGTGAAGGGAAATCTTAACGCTACAGCATACAATGACATTCTAGACGATTCTGTGCTTCCAACTTTGTGGCAACAAAGCGAGGTCCGTACAGAAATGGTTTGTCGAGATCGGGCGTGGAAGAACTTGACTGGCCTGCACAGAGCCCTGACCTCAACCCCCATCGAACACCTTTTGGGATGAATTGGAACGCCAAAACCGCGAGCCAGGCCTCATCGCCCAACATCAGCGCCCCGACCTCACTAACGCCCTCGTGTCTGAATGGAAGCAACCCCCCCCCCCCCCCCTCAGCAACGTTCCGACATCTAGTGGAACCTGAACCTTTTTTATTGTATTCAGTTGTTGTTTTAGTAATAAAGTGTGTCTGTGTGTGTTCTCTCCCCAGGGTTGTGTGCGCTCTCCATCAGTAATGACAACTGTTACCTGGCCTACCCCGGCAGCGCTACCATAGGAGAGGTCCAGGTGTTCGACACGGTCAACCTGGTACGACTCACACCCCCCCCATTCAACACGGCTAACTCTGCTACACACTGAGGTGTGGCTGTTTCAGTCTCACTGTGTGTTTTTTAACTGTGTCTCCAGAGGGCCGCCAACATGATCCCAGCCCATGACAGTCCGTTAGCAGCTCTGGTGTTTGATGCTAGCGGAACCAAACTGGCCACAGCCTCGGAGAAGGTGGGACACATTTTTAAACTGTTACGCTGAGCTACTGAGGTGGTGTCAGCCGGTCCCATTGCCCTCGGCCCCGACCACTAACCCTGACCCTTACCATAGAGATACTATTCTCTATCCATCTCTATGGCCCCGACCACTAACCCTGACCCTTACCATAGAGATACTATTCTCTATCCATCTCTATGGCCCCGACCACTAACCCTGACCCTTACCATAGAGATACTATTCTCTATCCATCTCTATGACCTTGACCCTTAACCCTGACCCTTACCATAGAGATACTATTCTCTATCCATCTCTATGGCCCCGACCACTAACCCTGACCCTTACCATAGAGATACTATTCTCTATCCATCTCTATGGCCCCGACCACTAACCCTGACCCTTACCATAGAGATACTATTCTCTATCCATCTCTATGGCCTTGACCCTTAACCCTGACCCTTCCCATAGAGATACTATTCTCTATCCATCTCTATGGCCCCGACCACTAACCCTGACCCTTACCATAGAGATACTATTCTCTATCCATCTCTATGGCCCCGACCACTAACCCTGACCCTTACCATAGATATACTATTCTCTATCCATCTCTATGGCCTTGACCCTTAACCCTGACCCTTACCATAGAGATACTATTCTCTATCCATCTCTATGGCCCCGACCACTGACCCTGACCCTTACCATAGAGATACTATTCTCTATCCATCTCTATGACCTTGACCCTTAACCCTGACCCTTACCATAGAGATACTATTCTCTATCCATCTCTATGGCCTTGACCCTTAACCCTGACCCTTACCATAGAGATACTATTCTCTATCCATCTCTATGGCCTTGACCCTTAACCCTGACCCTTACCATAGAGATACTATTCTCTATCCATCTCTATGGCCTTGACCCTTAACCCTGACCCTTACCATAGAGATACTATTCTCTATCCATCTCTATGGCCTTGACCCTTAACCCTGACCCTTCCATGGTAGCAGATCTGATGGATATTAACAGTGTAGTGGTGGACCGGCTGAAAGTGTGTGTGTTGTAACGTCGCTCGCTGTATCAGGGATCAGCTATCGTGTGTGTAATGTAACCTGTGTGTTCTGATAGGGTACGGTGATTCGTGTGTTCTCCATCCCTGAGGGACAGAAACTGTTTGAGTTCCGTCGAGGAGTCAAAAGGTAAGACTCCTTCCTCTTCCTTCTTCTCCATCTTCATCTTCTCCTCTGCCTTCTTCTCCTTCTCCTTCTTCTTCTTCTTCTTCTTCTCCTCCTCCTCTCCTTCTTCTCCTTCTTCTCCTCCTTCTTCTTGTCCTCCTTCTCCTTCTCCTTCTCCTCCTCCTTCTCCTCCTTCTCCTCTGCCTCCTTCTCCTCCTCCTCCTTCTCCTTCTCCTCCTCCTCCTTCTCCTCCTCCTCCTCCTTCTCCT